ATATGGAAAGAGAAGATGGAAAAACTCCATATCAACAGCCATAACAAGGCCAGGGGCAGACTGTGGAACAGACCATCAATTGCTCATATGCAAATTCAAACTGAAGCAGAAGAAAATGAAAACAAGTTCATGAGAGTCCAAGTATGACCTTGAATATATCCCATCTGCATTTAGAGATCTGAAAAACAGACTTGATACATTAAACACTAAGGATTGAAGTCCAGAATTGTTGGGGTAACATCAAGAACATCATACGTGAAGAAAGCAATAAGTCATTAAGAAGACAAGAAAGAAGGAAAAAATCAAGATTGATGTCAGATGAGACACTGAAACTTGCTCTCCAGCATAGAGATGTGAAAGCAAATAGAACAAATGAGGAGGTACAAGAGCTGAACACAAAATTTCAAAAGTCAGCTAGAGAAGACAAAGTTAAATATTACAACGAAATATTTGCGAAGATCTGGAAGGACATGCTCAGCATTTCGCAAGCTGGGGGAAATGAAGAAAAAATTCAAGCCTTGACTTTCCTTATTGAAGGATTCTCTGGGAAAATTATTGAATGATGCAGAAAGCATCAAAGAAGATGGAAGGACACAGAGTCATTATACCAAAAGGAAATGGTTGATGTTCATCCATTTTAAGAAGTAGCACATAATCAAGAACCAATGATACCGAAGGAAGAAGTCCCAGGTGCATTGAAGGAATTCGCAAAGAAAAAGGCACCAGGAATTGATTGATGGAATATAACTTGAAATCTTTCAAGAAAGTGAGGTGACACTGGAGGCACTCACTCATCTATTCCAAGAAGTCTGGAAGACAACTATCTTGCCAACTGATTGAAAGAAATCTGTATTTGTGCCCATTCCAAAGAGAGGTGAACCAACAGAATGTGGAAATCATCAGACAATATCTTTGAAATCTCATGCAAGTAAAGTTTTACTAAAGGTAATACAGAAATGGCTGCAAGCATACATTGATAGAGAACTTGCAAAAGTTCAAGCCGGATTCAGAAGAGGACATAGAACGAGGGATATCATTGCTGATGTCCAATGGATCTTGGCTGAAAGCAGAGAATACCAGAAAGATGTTTACCTGTGCTTTATTGACTAGGCAAAGGTTTTTGATTGTGTGCATCATGACAAGTTATGGACAATACTGCAAAGTATGAGTATTTCTGAACACTTAAGTGTGCTCATGAGGAATCTGTACATGGATCAAGAGGCAGTTGTTCTAATAGAACATGGGAACACTGAATGGTTTAAAATTAAGAAAGGTGTGCAACAGGATTGCATTCTTTCACCATACTTCTTCAACCTGTATGCTGAGCAAATAATCCGAGAAGATGGGTTATATGAAGATAGAAGGAAGACTCATTAACCACCTGCGATATGTAGATGATACAGCCTTGCTTGCT